TCCTACCACTATTAGCAAGTACTGGAACCTAATTTGTGACAGAAAAAAGTGACTGAAAATGGGGATTTGGTGAGGAGGGGGGGGGGGGGGAGGAGGGCCCACATATTGGATGGCCACGTCAGCGGAGAAGAAGCCACGCCTACGCATCATGCAGAGGAGGGTTTGTCTTGAGAGCCAGTGGCGCGCGAGTGACTGGAGTCGCAGGATGAAGTGCTGCTGTGCAATGAAGCGCTTTCGGGCCTGCCGTGCCCGCACATTCGCCTGCATATGGATGATGATGTGTTTCACCTGAAATGTGGCGAATCCATTGGGTTAAGCGAACCAATACCATCACTTTCTATGGGGTTTCCAGCCATGCATGCAACTCAGCATGAAAGTAACTGTGCAGGATTAAGAACCTTTCGGTGCCGGCGAAATCAGGCTTAGAAGTGCTCTTTTACAAGTGTAACGTTTACGAGGTATCTCAATATATCGGGAAAGGAGTAGTCCACAATGGCAGTTGCATTTTTGCATACAACATGCAATAAAGTGGAACTTACGGAGTAGAACTACAATGGAAATATTACCAAACAGGTTTTTAAACAAGTATGCTTTCCATCTTTCCTTATTAGGGTTATGCAAATCGACACCGTACAGATATGATATCAACTATTAATAAACTTATATATAAGATAAAAAACCAGATGCGTACATTGAATAGTAGACACTACAAATATCATAAACCTCCACCATTTATCCTTTTCTCACCGTGATAAAATTCTATATTAGGAACGACAGATATAAGCCGGAAGAGGATTGTTTACGGGACAGCAGAAAACATGAATGACAATCTGGCCTGAAATGACACACTATATTACCAAACATTGGTTAGGACTCAAGACCCAGCACACAAAAAGCTCACCCAATGATAACGTTAGGATACATAGCAAATATGATAGATTAAAAAATGCTTTTATTACATACTCGTAAGAACCTTCGCCTGGCCGCAGTTTGGCGGAATCTTCTTTGACAGAATATAGTGGACTTTCGAAGGTCTTCAAATTCTCTGTGGGCCAAAAAGCCTCTCCATCGGCTTTGAATGAGAATCGCGCTTGAGTTAATAATATTTTCCCGGAGTTCCTCCAGTTTCGAGTCATGAGAAGTCTAGGGTCAAATGAAGTAAGAAATACAGAAAAGCTACTGTTAAGCGGCGTTTAAGAGCCTTCGTCGAATTTTGCCATTAAATACGAATAAAAGCATCAATTCGAAAGCCTTATTTTGAGCGTGTTTTCTGAAACTAACAACACACCATTCAAGAAGGAGTTCATTCATGTTTCTTTACAAATTTGAACCCATTAAAACGAGTCGATTGGTTTGACTCGGTTAGTTTTGTGTGAAAGTTTTTGATTTCACTGAAGTAATACCAACTGGCCGATTGTAATAATAATGTGAGAAAAACTGAGTTCACTTAGTGACTACCATTGGAAAAAATAAGTGAAATTTTCAGCTAGAATCCTACTATCTATCCCTAGTGTTAGGACTACTCTCGAGCCTAGAGCAGCAAAGTCCCTCAATCGAATTCATCCATTCACTACTCATTTATTGAGCTCAAAAAATAAACCGTATAACACAGATATCTTTTCAACTCATTTGCTCTTACTGATGCTAAATTCAGCCTCCACTTTTAAGAAGATTTTTACAGTATGAATTAAAAGCCGTTTCCATCGTCCATGGATAGCTTTAATGATGAAGATCTGAATAAAGAGAGGCCATAGGTAATCGCTGGTTTTGGTACTTTTGATTAGATCATGTTCAAAGAAATAAACTAGCAAAGAATATTTTCTCGTAAACTCTTGAAAAAAAAATGTAAACAAAGTAAGACTACTTATGATCCCTTTAAGTTAGCGCATCTGAATCCTAGGTTTTAAATGTACTAGCTTAACATCGGGTATCCAAATGCGTTGAAAAAATAATCACATGAAATTAGATTCTTAAGATTTGTTCAATCAACTGAATCCTTAGTGTGAAATGTAGAGGGCCCGCTTTGAAAAAAAGAAAAAAGCTCTCATGAATCAAGATGGGTTAGAATGCACGCGGAATTCGAGGTGAATTCTACCGAATGGATGTTGTGAAAGAACGCGGCAGTACTCCGCTAATTCGCGTTACGAACTAAAAATGAAAGCTTGACTCACTCGATACGGAGAAAAGACGGCAGGGGCACTCATGAACAATAAATTTAGACGTTAAGGTATGTATAAAGAACATGTCCCTTCAATAGTTAATTTGCGTTAGGATACCGCACCTATCATGGAAGAGAAAAATTTGTGATGAAATCAAAAATATGTAAGTGCACAACAGTGGACGAGCCAAAGAAATAGTGCAGTCCAATGACGACGCATTTGTGCCAAAAGCCTTAACTTCATGTTGTTAGCAGGACACGATTTCGCCAAACGAGGTTGATCGACGCAGCAACTGCGAAGTAAATGCGCAAACGGACTGCTGTGCCGCATTCGGCGACCTAAGCTCAATAACAGCAAAATGGTGAAAAGGATGTTCAACGGCGTGGCCACAGATATATGCCGCAATGTGACACTGCATACAGAGAGAAAGTAACTCCGAAACTCCATAAAACAAAGGCCTTTTCTGCGTCAACAAATAGCGAAATTTAACCTTTATTACAAACAAGATGTATTCTCAATAGCAATAGTGTTATATGACGCTCCAGACTACTAACACTTTCTTCCTCGTCTATTTTCTACAAACTTTTATGACTGAGAAGCTCTATGAATAGTCAGCACTTTTCTCTTATGTCTTAATTCCCCTTAGTGATACTTGGAAAACGCTTTGAAGTCAATTTCTCAAAACCGTCCGAGAGTTACAGTACGATTTCTTTACGAGTCACTCGATTCAAGATTGTAACGATGAATTTAGTTATTATCGGGAAAACAGGAAAAAGCACACAAAGTCTTGTCAAGCCAACACCGAAGTTCTAAGGACGTATTCAAACAGCCTCATTAGGTTTATGAATGCACTAATGACATTAAATGCAAATAATTTTACCCTAAGAATGATTACGCAGCTGAGTTCTTAACCATGTGGAGAAATTATGACCGAAGTACGCATCTATGAAACTCGTAAAGTTACACAGCCCTAAAAGCTCACTAAATACGTTTGCTATCCCCGAATCATCAGTCTGTACAACATCAGTATTCGCAGGAGATCTAGCAGGGTTGAGCAATCGCCTTTGATAAAACTGATTACCTCAAGCTTCACAAAAACGCTCATAGGATAGACATTCCCATTTGGAATATTACGAAAATCTGCAATTTTGCCGTGTATGAAATTAGTTAGATACCCTCCAAAGCGTTAAGGATATACCAGACAGTGAAATGATAAATAATTTCGTTATTAGTAAAATCACTTTAATGTTGAGAACAATTGCGCTACGCCAAACGTGTTACGGTACTATAACGCAGTCCAGCACTAATTCCAACAGGTACGACAACTGGTAGAGTTAAATTTCAAGCAGGAAGTAGTTGGGAAACCACAACGACCAAAACGCGTGTATTAACCAAAAAGAAAACCTGCGCTATAATTGCAATTTCTATACGTCTATAATATGCTGCATGAAAAAAGCCGAAAAATGTATTAGGTAGTTGCTATCTCCACCCCACAAAACCCATGTATAATGTTTTGGCAGAAATAGGGTACTTCTCACGGTAATTACTGAGGCCCTGGATGAATTTCATCAGAGGCAGCTCAGTAACTCGCGACCAAGCAGAGACATGCGAACTAATTTCCTCCATCTCATCACTTTAAAGCACCAGGTCAGCTGCGTAGAAACGGCCACTCACTCGTAAAAAGACCTTAGTAGACCCGATGGCATAAGTAAGGTCTTCCGATCCAAAAGCTGCACGGCAGATCTCCATTACCAAGTGCTGGGGGTTTCCGTAGCGCAGTTGACTGAAGCGATGGGTAGTAGGACCATAGAGCTGCAGGATCATGTGGAAGCGCTGCACAAAGTCTGGAAACTCGTAGCGAATAGGATAGCCCAAACTGCGAATCTGTATCGTCTCCATCATGCCAGAGTAGCGTAGTTGACGGACACAGAGGCTGCGATCGAAGCAATTGGGTAATTTGAACTCATTGGGCTTGATGCAGCGCACAAAGAAGGGGTGACACCCATTAATGATAGACATGAGACGCTCCAACGACTTCTTGAACTGCATTCCCAGAGTTAGTGAACGAGGGCGGTTTTCGGGCTAAATGAGAATTCCCAAACCATCATCACAACACATACAAAGTAGGGATTTACTTATACGAGATATGCAGTGAAGACAAGATCCGCTGCATGTTCAATACTTAAAGTGGTATAGAAAAATCTTCCAGGACCAAAGTATGCAAATTATTGCCTACGGCTAAAAGGAGAAATTAACAAATTCAATGGATGTTGAACAAACAAATCGGGAAGATTCTTTACTATACCCGAGAAGAGGGAGTCACGAAAATAACCGCTTTATAATTGCAAGAATATGTGTGGAACACAGGGATCTTAGAAATTACTCCTATATCATGCATTGAGTCATTTATGTAGAGGAGATGTTAAGGGAACAAATCCACCTACAAACAACAGATCGAATTTACCGAATGCAAACGCTTCTCGAAAAGATTTCGAAGAAAGTCGTTTTTCGATGTACTGATGACCTCCAGCAAGTCATGGTTGAATGTATCTCTGTTTTTCTCCAAAAATCCCTTCACATTATAGAATACGGGTCCAGCGAAGTGTACGATACCGAACCGCTAAAAGTGGCAGCATTTCATTTTATAATTCCTAGTGGCACAAAAAATTTAAACATGGTGAGAGTCCAAAGCCAAAAAAATAGCTCACTGTCTCAGCGGAGGAGAGAGCACGGATGAAGTTGGGAGTGGTGGAGTGGCGGGCGTTGAGTTTGTTTAGGAAGCTCTCGTCCGAGCCGCGGGGGAATCGGCTCTCCTCGTCCACCAGTGCCAACACGTTGAGCGGTTGGTGAGCTATCAAGTCGAGCACCTCGTGGTTGTCCCGAAACCTTATGTGTGTCCAATTGATGCCCTCTGTCAAGTACTCATCCTGCTCCAACTTGAAGATATGCCGCACAAAGTATTGCTGAATGTTCTCATTTGCGTAGTTAATGCACAACTGCTCAAAACTAGAGGGAAATAACACCTCAAAATTAATCTCAGCTGTGTAGTCGTGGTAACAGTGTATACAAAACCATCCTAAAATTAGTTTCCCAAGCAAAAAAAAGTTGTAATAGACATCAAGATCGACTCAAAAGAGCGTTACAAACATGTTGTACGAAGTAAAGCAATATTTTAGTAACTTTATGGCCACAGTCGCATAGTGAGTCCTAGAGATAAGTAACGAACCTATTGGAGATGAAGTTTTCGAAGCCGAAAATGTCGAGCACACCGATAGAGAGGCGCCCGGGACCAGTAGAGGGATTAAGGGGAGGATTCAACTCGCAGGGGTTGTGAGTGGTGGTGGTGGTAGGCGTGGTGGGGATAGGGTTAGCAGGTGAGGCCAAGGGATCAATTACGGAGGGCCAGGTGTTGGAACGGGCAACGCGGTTGCCGCACAAGCATTCCTGAGAGCAATGATCAGCCAAATTGGGCAAGCGGGAGGAGGTAAAGCCGGGCGAAGTGCAGCTGCCCGGCCTCACCAACGGCACCGCAGTGGACGCTGCCGCTGTTGCACCCAATGGCGGCTTGTAAATAGCTGCGTTAATCTTCTCCACAATCCAACAGAAAAGGTGATCATAGATGGTCTTCACGAAGGCATCTCGCACAGTGCAGGCGTTCGCAGGCAGGAATTGCGCCACAACGCACTCCCCGGCCATTTGAATCCGCCGACTGGTCATACCCTTCTCCAGACATGTGTGGCTCATCTTCAAAGAAAACAAATAGAATAAGGTAGGAGTACCAACACGACGAATCATGCTGAAGCTCCCACTTCCATACGCATTGATTTTTTTTAGTGTTTAAGTTTATTTTTATACATACTCGTATGTATCAGGATATCATAAAGCGACAAGTTAAAATATTTTGTCTGAACGTGACCTATTCATTTTCCACAAGAGCAAAGTATCTAACCGTCATAAGATAGTCTGATCCTTAAGGGCATTTACAACGACAAAAATATGGGAATTTTGAGCAGTGTAGTCAAAAACGTACCCCAAGCAGATTGGAGGCGTATCTAAGTTCGGAGCGATGAGTGTCCTTCACTTTGCTCGCATCGGCACTCTCCTTCAGAATTTCACAGAAGGATATGTTTCCTAGATGCAGGAGCGCTGCTAACAGGTGCCAGATTTCATCGATTTGGTGATCAGTAAATTTGAGGTAACGCATTGTTGAAACGATATTTTCAAAGTGTTTTGCATCGTTCAGGGTGTCTACGGATGTATCCCTATCCTTTTATTTAAAAAGAGGTAAATAAATACGCTTTCTGAAAAACACTAATTTTATGCTCAAAAATAGTTAAAAATTAACTTATATACCATAACACCACAATATTGATCTGCGTACCAATGCACACGTTGCTTTGACTGCCTTATCAAAGATTTTAGGTGCTATTTCTTAACTCTTATCAGACATGCTTTCCCATGTCTGCCATTTGGAATGGTAGGGCCTACTCGCCTGGCAGAGGTAGTTGTAACACTCGGCATCCTTAAGGCCCAGACGGCGCTTATCCCTGGGGGGCATGCCAGCGAGCATGCAGTAAAAGGCATGGTAATTGCGCTCGCCCGCTGCCTGGCGCACGATGCGCGACTTCTCCAACAGGTACTGCTCGATGCGCGCACTCACAATATGACCGGACTTTCGGTCAAAGTGGATGTCCACGTACTTGCCAAACCGAGAGGAATTGTCATTACGCACTGTCTTTGCATTGCCAAAGGCTAGAGCAATTCAGGTACATACGGAAATGTGTGTATTAGTGGTGGTACAGAAAAACCATTTACTTGCATAGCTGAAAAATTATTGAGGCTTATACAAAGTCGCACAAACTGATCGTGTCTCGTTGTTTCGCATAAAAGTTTTCAACTGTCATGTGGTGGTCGGCGTGGGTACATACATTTGTAGGGTTCATTTCATATCAGACCCAAGAGTCTGGAACAAACATCACTAAATTTTTTCATTATAAGCAGAGGTAGTAGTGGGCTTAAATTTTAAATACCCTCTGGATTATACTAGAACATTCCCCAAAATATCCTAAGATGACAGAATAAGGGTTTTGATGCAATAAATACCTTCCATGACTGGATTTGAATCAAGAATTCGTTTGCCGATGCATGATTCACCCCCGCTGAGGGTTGTGATGAACTGAAGCAGCAGTTTCGTGCTCTCTGTTTTGCCTGCTCCACTTTCACCACTAGGATAGGAAGCATCGAGAATAAAGTTGATTGACTTATTAGAACAGTCTCATTCAAATGATCATGCAAAGTATGCAAAAATCAAGTCTCAGCGAGCAAAGCAAGAATGATAGGGGAGTCTGCCATGAATACCACTAACAATATGTGCAGCATAAATTCAGTTAAACAGTCCACAAGTTCCTTTGCGGTGTGATCAGGACTAATGAACTAAGAAAACAAACTTGATTGAGACCTAGCTATCAACAGCTACTAACCTAGCTGGTATGATGTTGTTAAGACCCAACTGAAAAAATGTTGCGTAGGTACTAAAAATGACGCAATAGCTTGTAAAGCTGGTTGGATTATCTGCTTTCCCACTAGAATAATTCTACACTTAGTTAAAAAATTAAAATGCAACATAATTTGTTTATCCGGCCAGTATAATAATCTCCTGTAAAAACAAGCAATATGTTAAGTAAAAGCATGAGAAGACCTTATAATGATGCACTGATCGCGAGAGTTACGGAGCATATTACGGAAGGCGTTGTCACCGATAGCAAAGAGGTGAGGAGGCATCTCACCAATCTCCTTGTTTGTGTATTGCCTCATAGTGTTCTCTGTGTAAATAGGTAGGGATCGATAGGGGTTGATAGCTATCAAAATCGATCCTGTGTATGTCTAAAGTGTTAAAACATTGCCAGGGGGATATTCAAAGGATGCTAAAACAAAGTATTGTGGCGAATAACCACAAAAACCCACATATATATTGTTTTCTCTGTAACGAAGAAACAAATTTCGTAGAATACTGCACTCGTGAAGCTCTCCGAGGGCTGTCATATCAGGGATGCTGCGGACAGAGCTTGGGTGCATCAGCTGGACGTCAGAGTCGATTTGAAGAGAATATTGCTTTAAAGTATCGGAAAAGCATAAACATTTAACGTAAAATAACCTTAGCATATGTAAACAAGTGTGCAGACAATTAAGTCATGTGGCAAATGGTTTATATCAGGCAACTTAAAAATGTAAGGACTAATGTTTTTTGGAAGAATGACTATAGGTTTCAGTATTCATCTAAAAAAGATTCGCATGCCAACAAAAAAATAAACAATGAAAGAAACAGGAGACACTTTGTAGCAGTCAGTAGTGATGGCAGCACAATCTACCTTCGGTTTTCCCAGGACTTAAATTGTATACAAGATAGTTTCTGCAGGTTAAACTAATCTGGATTTGTATAAAATCAATAGGAGCAAAGCTAATTCAAGAGTAAAAATTGACCAGGCTAAACGCACACGAATAACCAAAGCATTCATACAGCAAGTGATAACGTTACTGACGCAACTATGCCATAAAAGAATATCAAGGAGTTAGAAAAACAGCTCATATAAATCCGCTGGAAATTGAAGTTATTCTGGGCCAAAAATGTACTATGGGGGACTAATGACAAAAATTCTACCTTCTCATCATCGTCTTCGACAATATATACATCGTTCTGTACATCCAGAATTTTTGCACCAATGGGAACTGAGAACTCGCCCTGACACTGCGGTGAAATCCAAATGTAATCACCCTTAGATAAAAAATATCGTACAAGCGTTAGGCATTTATCACCAATAGGTGGTAGAAAAAATCAATGCAAATTCATTTGAAATATATGTGCGAATTTTGCGTAGGGTTTTCCTTAAGAAGAGCGATAGAATATGCAGTACCACAAATGATTTGCCATAAACACTAGTTCTCACAAAACCAAAAAAACGTCAAAAATTACTATACATATGAATCTCGAAAAATTTGGCATAATTACACACAATGGGAGGAAAATACAATAAAACTTAGAAGCACGGTGTGAGAAAGCACTACAGTCACAAAAAAAGAAAGCAAATTAAAGTCGCAAATATACACACTTGAGATGTCAAAAGTGTTGCGTTACTAAGCCAGCCTTGAGTAAAAAACCAATTCATTTGCAAAAGAACAAAGTGCTCTTTTAACCTACTAAAGTATTGACAAAGAGCGCAAAAAGGTGCAAGGCAACACACATTATTACTGAACTTCAACATCTAGGATGACATAACAAACCTATTAATCAAGCAAATCACGCTCACTCTAGTTAACATAACCATTTTGATGCAGTCCTCCTCTAAAGGCCGCGGGTTATATTACCTTGGGCTTGGTGATTTAAACAGTTACGTTTTGCGGCGGTAACCATGACGCAAAAGTTAAAAAACCGCACTAACATTTATGCCCAGAATAAACATTAAATAAAGGAAGCATACACAATCTCCAAAAATTGTTGCTGTAGAGGTTGCAGAAACATTACCTCGATCACTATCCCTAGACCAAAATAAATCCGTGCCATTTTAAATTGCATTTTTACAAAAAAAATTAAATTGTACCTATAGGTACTTAAATGAGTGCTTAATTACCGCTTTGACTGTATGTAAAATGAAGTCCAACAAAAAACCTGCTGCAGTCATTTACTTTTTGCGCTAATAGTCGTTGGTAAACACATTGATACTAACACTGCCTGTCGGAAAATCATTATCATTTTTTATATATAGCTACAAATCGTGAAGTACGCTGATTCCTTTAGTTAAGGCAGCTTTCGATTTACCTTTAAAATTGGTAAATTTTGGGATTTGTGCAATATAGATGGCCTGTAAATTTAATTTTACTGTGAAATTTTAGGTACTGACCTATTGACAACAAAATTGATGCTCAAACCCACATCACTAGAAATCCTTATTAATTTTGCAACGCTCTGAGGCTTTTTCAAAGATAAAGAAGGACATAGTTGTAGCGTTACAAGACTCCTTAAGGACGAAAGAAGACACAATGCTCTGGTGGAATATGTATATTTAGCACGAGAAGATGTCTGGGCAGTTAGCACGGCCCGAAAGGCCAGCTCACCCAGCGAGGTACAGGAAGGCTAATTCAAAGTGAAAAGTAGCGCCTTACCAATGCTAAAAGATAAACCACTATCGTATTGCACAATACTTGGGCAGAATATATGTCTTCGACGTAGAGAAAGTGTTTGACCTACTGGCATGGCCCTAAGGCCAGCCCATTAGACGTGCTACAGTGGCTAAGTCAAATATGGCTTTGTAATAAAATGGGGGTTAAACAACTATTGTATTGCAATTTAAATTGCCAGAAAATAAGCTTCGAAAATTCAACATTTTTAAATTTTTTTGTTTTAGGGTCTGCCCTTTTAAAAGAATTCGGTACCTGGAAAATGAATATTTACAATAAGACTTTACCTATAACTGCTAAGCACTTGGTTCTTAGAAATCTCTGTGTCCCCCTTTTTTACAACCATATTTTAGCTTTTCGCCGCCTTTTCTAATTGGCTGTCGTAGTCTGCCAATTCTGAACTTCCTCTCCCGCGTCTGGTTTGTTGGCGCTTAGGTCTTGGCTGTTGTCGTATGTAGATTTTGCAACTCACTCTCAGTTAATACGATCTGAACGAGGTGTGTTGCCCCTTACCTACCATAGAATTATCAACCTAGCGGTTAATTTTTTAACTTCCTGATAGCGGAATCTTAGTCTTGACTATACAGATCGCATTTGTTTTTGAATGTGTTCTTATTTTTTTCATATTTGGAGTGGAGTACCTATCTTATCCTGCACCACAATCACTGTTAATAAGCTAAGTGCCGGTTCAATGATAATGGCGTTCTTACAGCAGATTGGACAATATTATGCAAAATATTTTCCTACTTAAAATTGATGTTTTGTTAAGGGATGAATACAAGTGATTTTGATCTATCTTCGGACCCGGTTCCTTTGAGGGTAAGTATTTTTGTTTCTAACCCATATTTAATCGTTCTGACTCCATTTTTCCTATACCTCCCCCAGGTTAATGTAAGCGTAGATAGTGGCCAGCCGCGAGTTTCTCACTCGCTCCTCATATCGCGTCCGTGTGACAGTATCAGCATTCCAAGTTTGTCGAGTTTTTTGAGTGTGGATTCCGGGAAAACTACCTCAGCTGGTGGCTTATCACCCTGCTGCTCCTCACCGATTCTCGTTACACAAAATACGTCATTCAGTGATACAGAACGGGATACAAGAACGGTTGATTCTGGTTTACCGGGGATATATGGTGACGCTGATGATGGTGAGCTAGATGAAATAGACGAAGATGAAATTGGCTCCAACGCTTCCGACCTCTTCTCGTCTTCTTTAAATCTCATGCCCAATCCATCATCAAATGACGAAAGTGTTGAAGCGGGGTGCGACTTTCAATCCATTAGGACTTTTGAGGCCTCCGCTTCCGTCATTAGCAAGTGTTCTGCGGATGGAAATTCAAGAAACGTTTATTCATTGAAGAAATCAAGAAATGGTTCAAAGAGGAAAATCTCTACCTGGTACCAAGTAAGGGCTCATGTCGTGTCCATACTACTTTTCACCCCAACATAGGTTGCTAAAATGAATATATTCGTTTGATTCTATAAACGCAGAAAGTAAATACGAGCTTATTTCCCACTAATTAGCAATCCCAGTTACCTGATCGCCTTTAAGTCTTCAATTATGTGGATTAATGGCTGGGGAATGCTAAAAAATAGCTTTTACCACTTTAAATCATGCTCATATCTTCACATATGGTTCCTGAATGCTTTAAAATCGGATTGTTACCTAATTCCTTTTTAGTCTTGGTATCGAGTTAATGTGTGTCTCACTATAAATTCGTCAGTCCTATAGCAATAAGCTACACATTCGTTTTGCCAAAGGAATTATGTAATCTTTTTTTTAAATTATTCTCTAGGTCAAGAGGGAAACACTCGTGAAATCTTATCGGGCTAAAGTTAACCATTTCAAGAAGATCTTTGATGGCACGCCCGTGGACACAGATCGCCTTCTCGTCGGTATAGTTGAACTTTTATATGTGCCAGCCCAAATTTAGTACTTGCAGCCATCCATCACTATTTTACTCAAATATTTTGGGAATTTAAGCAAAAAAGGCCACAATTCTTTCCATCTCATAACTACTAACTTTATGACCTTTAGTTCCACGGTATTTATCCACCAGTACTGTAAATATTTTGATATTTAGCTGGTATTACTAAACCAGTAAACGTGTCACTCCTCGTGGCAACATTCGCTTTTATGCATTTTTTGTAAAATTGCTTCAGTATTCATTTTCTCAATTCGCTCAGGTGGTTGAGGTTGAGTTTCCTACATACTCATTGTTGTACCGAAGAATTATCTGACATTAGTGATGCTTTTTCATTAATAAAGGCACGCATATGATCTAAAATGCTGAAAATTGGGATAAATCCATCTAAAGTTGAAATGCCTTTGTGATTGAACACCGAATTGCTAACGTATTGGCCATCCAAGTTGGGTCTTAATACTTCGCGATTCCTTTATACACTGGATATAGAACTTCTGTTCTTATGGTAGTTTATCGTCTACATAAGCCAACCTAGTGATTATGAAGACTTGACCTCGACATCCTTGTATGTAGTCAAGTATCGCTAAGTAGTTGCATAGTTTTATGCGAAACATTTTCATGCGTTTGAAATTCAACTTCAACCTTTCCCCCTCTGTTCTGGCTATGGATTCGGTAGTTGATTCGGTGAAGATTTTCACAAATCAGAAAGGATCTTTTTGATTGCAGCACTAGTTTTTAGAGTGGGGTCATGTTGATATTTGTCACGGCGATGAAATTTGAATTGAAATGTTGAACTTGCCACTGACACCCTGACAGAATTCGCTAAAGCCAACTTTCCGACTCTCGTGTAATTGCTAACAAGCATTGTTTTCCTCTTTAAGTACTTCGTTGCTATCAATTCTATGCTTTTAGATTATTCCTGTGCCCTTGCAAAGAACAAAAATGGTCTTCTTCTTCTAGGACGAATGTATATAACAGAAAAATGGATTTGTTTTTATTCAAAGATCATTTATGAGATAAAGGTATGCTTTTAGCGAAACAGGATTCCGTGAATCCTTCCTTTTTTACATGGGACCACTTGGAAAATATTACATTGATAGCTTTGATCTTGATTGGGTGACCTTAAAGTGAGTTTTGAATAAATTTGTTCTGCAATCCTTCAAAAAGTCATAAGAACTACGCTCAAGGACTGTTAAGTGCGCCATTTTAAGTGCAAATGAATACCAAAAGTAAGGCATATAAAGCAATTGAAGCTGCCCATGACTACTTTGTCTGGCTCTTTTATTATCCACTGCTTCCTTCTGCAGCTCCATATAGCGGTTGACAACGTTCAGACGGTATCAAAGGCAAAGACAGCCCGTCTCATTCCAAATGCTATTCAGATAACACTCAAGTCGAACAACGAGCGATACTTCTTCACATCCTTTGCATCCCGCGAGAGAACTTTTGCCATCCTCAAAAAAGTCTGCGAAAACAGCAGAAACGGTGGTGTAAGCTCTCTCACTTTTTACTCGGGTTTTTGCAATTTCATCCTTTGTTGTTAATATCAGTTGGCGTTCGAACCAAACTGCATTGAAGTGGTTCCAGTCTGTCAAAATTCCTTTTAGCCTATTAATTCAAATATTTTGTTTCGTGTTATTTGGGAATGACTTTACCTGAGCAATTGGACTGGGTCCAAAAGGTAACCTTTTTAACAAATCATTTCAATCTATTGCATATTCAAACCTATTTATGCTGTTTCCATGACTCATTATCGCAAACGGCTTATCTACAAATGAATTTCGGTTATATTTTCGGATGTAATTATTACAGCATTAAAACTTTACTTCACAACAATAATTTCTACCTGAAAGTACATTTGAAGCCTCGCTTTGTGGCTTGTTTGATGGAAAAGCATAGTTATGTACCGGGTACTGTCGTTACCTGAACGAGGAAGATAAGTGGAAATGGAATACCAATTAAAGATGCTTTCATTTGGTTGGTGTCGTTTTTGCTAGAACACACCTGACCAAAGGACTCAAACTTGCATAAAGTTGCGATGTATTAACTAACGTTTTCTGGTTAGTGACTTGATGGCACAGGTTGCTTCGTTAGCTAGCTTGTGGATAATGTGCCCACACAAGGCCTTACCACCCTTACATCGAGGATGATTATCTACTGTGAGTGCTGACATTCAGTGCGTCAAGATTTTAATAAAATTAGCAGTTTCTGTTTGTGGAAAAATAAGCCCGATGCATTTTATGCACTGCACTGAATCGCCTGAAAAGATGCACTCTTTCGGTGTAAGTGTCGGCACGTAATCGGAAGTCATGGAGTTGCTTCCCCTTCTTGTTCAGCTAAAAGGGAGTTTTCAAGTACTAGTCTTGTTCGAAATTAACGACGGGTTGCGTCGAAAATGCCTTTTTGTAAGTTCTCATTTGCTATTGCGTTATTAATCTTCTGCTAAGGGACTGCAACTAAACAGTTACCTATGTAATTAGACTTCAAATTAACATGGCTTAGGAAGAATAGTTTAAAAATAATTTATTTGGTGAGGAACCACTCGGAA